GTGTGTGTGTGTGTGTGTAGGTACTGAGATGATGGACAGTCAGCTGATGGGAGAGTTTGAGTTTGACGTTAAAGATCTGGAAGCTGATTCTTGGAGCGGCACGGTGGATAAGAAGTTCTTGAAAGCACTGAAGAAAGATGAAATCAAGAGACAAGACGTCATCTATGGTAATATATTAGGGATGTCTCGATCCAATCTCAAATATTGGTATCTGCGCCTATCAAGGCATTTTTTAACTGATTGGTATCAGTATTGGCTGCTTTTACCCGGGCTGCATTGGTGCATGGTGCAGCCATCGTTGACTCTCCACTGTCTCTTTCCTCAACTCTGCTGAGCTGCATCAGTGTGAGACCAATGGCAGCCCCGCCTGCTGTGGAGTTTACCACGGGAGAGGCTGCTTCTGCTCAGAGGAGAGTAGCAGTAGAGATGAGATCTAGACACAACCCCAATCAACAAGACAGCTTTGATGCAGGCATTTTTTTTGATGCATTGCATTCACTTGAAAATAATGTTGTCTTTGTTTGTCTGAAATAATGACTAATTATGTCATAATTCTGAGATATTTTCCATGCAAAAAACGAGATACCTCCAGCACCCTTTCAGCACCCTTGAGCCTAACCCAATTCCTGTATCTAGGCTCCGCTGAGGAACCGGAGGGAGGAAGGGAGGTTGGTGAGGTCGGTGCCCATGCACAGTGCCTAATCTTGTCGACTGATGTCAACTGTTTTTTTGTTTTGTTTTTTGCCATGAAAAAGTCTCTCATAATTATGACATAATGAATTAATTCAGAAAAACAAGTGAATGCAATACCCTTCCGTAGCTATTCAATTGTCAAGCATATACATTGGATTAATTTAACTAATTTTAATGTACTTGAAGTGTGCACTGTGCACCTGTTTTATCTAAAACAATATACATGTATCGGATCAAGACTCTGTATCAGCCAATAGTCATTATTAAACGACTCAAATCGGATCCATGCTAAAAAAAAACCTTGATCAGGACATCCATACATACTCATTTTGGGAGGAAGATAAATTTTAGGTGTAAATGCTCCTGTCATGTTCCTACATAAGGCGCTAAGAGTCTTTTCTCTACTCAGAGTTGTACCAGACAGAGTTCCACCATGTGAGGACACTGAAGATCATGTCTGAAGTATACTATAAAGGCCTGCAGAAGGAGCTGCAGCTTGACACTCACACTCTGGACAAGGTGATGCATGTGCTGTTTCAACTACAGTTTTGCATAAATGCATTATTAAAAACAAAAAAATGTAATTGACACATTAAAGGCAAGTATATTGATGATTCTCTGTAGATTTTCCCTGTTTTGGACAATCTGTTGGACATGCACACACATTTCCTCACCCTGCTCCTGGAAAGAAAAAGAGCTTCATCAGCTGAGGGACAAAACAATAACAGCTTCCTCATCTGTAGCATCGGGGATGTCCTTGTCAACAAGGTAAGTAAGAAGAATAAAAGTAGCTGCAGTGATTAAAACACCACCAACTGGGCCAGTGTTTGTGTGTATACTATATTTATGCTCAACCATGTTGTGATACATTTAAATTCAGTTATGTCCAGGGTCGAGTGTTCCCTCTACAGCACTTAAAAGTACTAGCTGAGCTAAGCACAAATCTATTGCCATTTTTCAAATGGTCAAAAGTACAAGGCTACACTGCATGTTTTTATGGCTTTTTTTTTATTTTCAAACAATTGTTTAGGAGTTTCAGATCTTCATACTTTTTGAATCTCACATATTCTGTATAAATCTTGGTGTTGGTCCAGTATTGCCATTGTGCAGACCTAAGAGACATTTATAATGTATTCTTATGGGATAAAATGACTAAACAACCAAAAACTAATAGAACAATGGCCAAGTGTCAGGAAGAAGAGCACATGCATTTGTATGATTGTTAGGAATTAAGAAAATACAAAATACAGATAGAGAATTGTATAAAAAATTCAGAAAAATATCAGCTCAAAATTCATCCAAATCATTTATTTGACACAAACTTGGGTTCATTGTAAAGTTGTTCCGTACTGTTATTGTTGGTAATATGAAATGAAATATACAGCCCCCCACCCCACCACCACCTCCCTCAAAAATAAACAAAAAAACAACTGACAGTCACACTGCTCTGCAGAGAAACACACACAGGGACAGACACTCTAGGTAAACCAGGTAAAGTCCTGATGTCATCTGTTACCAGGCTGGTTTCGATCGTTTCAATGACTCACCTGCTGTTGTAAAAACGGAATCGACGGTTGTGCTTTTTGGGTGACTTTACTGTTGAAAAAAATCCAAAAGTAGTTAAAGAGTTAAGTAATAATAATAATAAATTATATTTATAGAGCGCTTTTTTAGGACACTTCACATAAGTTCAAAAAAGGAAAAAGGTAATTAAAACAACACACTAAAAAACATAGGAGAAGGACTTTATATTGGATTGTTAGACCTGCTGCATATGCTCGTTAAAAACGTGCATTTGGGATTTGATGAATGTGTGGATGAGGGGCGGAGGCGTGCAATGTTTTTCAGGTGGAAGAAGGCAGTTCTGGTGATTTGATTGACATGGTGTTCAAAGGAGAGGTTGCTGTCAAAGATAACTCTGAGGTTGTGGATGTGTGCGGAGGGAGACAGTGGTGTTGTTAAGGGTGAGACCGAAGTTGTTTGTGTTTTTGGTAAGGGATTTGGGAATTTATATTTCAGATTTGTCACAGTTGAGTTTGAGGAAGTTGGCATGCATCCATGATGGTGGTTTTGGATTTAGTGGAGATGTAGAGCTGGACGTCATCAGCATAACAGTGGAAGCGGAGACCATGACGGCGTATGAGGTTACCAATGGGGAGAATGTACAGGATGAACAGGAGGGGGCCAAGCACTGAACGCTGAGGGATGCTTTGGGACAGGAGTGGAGGAGGTGCAGTTATTGATATTGAGGAGGGCTGTTTCTGTGCTGTGTTGTATGGTTCAAACAGGTCATTGGAAATGAGGTGGGCTTTGTGTAGGGAGTCAACAACATGTTCAAGTATTTTGACAGAAAGGGAAGATTGGAGATGGGCCGGAAAGTGCTCATGATGTCGGGGTTGAGTCCAGGTTTTTTGAGGATGGGGGTGACAGCAGCCAGTTTGAGTGTTTCTGGGACAGAACTAGTTGGGTCTCTGTAAATGTTATAAGAAGTTTGGTCTAGACCTGCTCTATTTGAAAAGTGTCCTGAGATAAATTCTGTTATGAATTGGTGCTAT